TGAGCAAACTGTTGATATCTCCATACCCCTGGACTGCAGCCAGCTAGCTGAGGCTGTGGAAAGCATCGACTGTAGCCACACGATGCTTGCCTGTCTCTGGGAAGGTATCTGTTTCAGGGCTTTCCAGAGCTTGTAGAGATCCACAGAGCCAAGTAGGAAGCCTGCTTCATTCGCCATTCTTTCAGCAGCCACAATAATTGCCTGTTTCTTGGTTCTCGCTCTCGGTATAGATACACCCCAGTTCGGTTTGAACAGGAAAGCAGGAGAGAAGGAGGGAGCAGAAATACGTCGTGTCCAACCGAACTGTGCCGGTTCTACTGAAATGGCAGAAGCATCCTCATATAGTAGGAGACACTTGGACGTCGTGGAGGGGTCTGGTGCCCACACCTGGCTCTCCAGGAAGCCGCCTGTGTCAGAGAGAGTCTTCTCTCCCGCATGTCTCAGAGCAGTAGTCCCTTTCCGTCCAGCTTTCGGGACCCGGACTTGTACTTTAACACCCTGAACCAAGTCCGGTCCCATTACTCTTAAAAATTGGTCAGGCTTCTCTGGGTCTTGCAACCAGTAGCCGGCTGGGGCCTCAGACTGGCCTTTAAGCAGGCCTATCCAGAAGAGGGGGATTGCAGAAACAAGTTTGTTGAAGTTGTCTTCTTTCTTGTGGATGCGGGGTAATGTACTCCGCAGGCTGGAGATATGAATCCATTCGCCTGGCTCATCGTCCCACAAGTCCTTGACTTGGACCACCCCCTTTTCCACCCAACCTTTCCCAAAGCTACCCGCACTACCATCTGCTAGAAAGGGGGACCCATTATCTTGTAGTATGAGAGGGTTTTCGAATAGCACTTGGCGCAAGACTTCCTGTTTAGTGGTCGGTTGGATCCTAGCTTTGGGAAAGAGTTTGTGCCAAGCAAACAGGACATTTCTCCTGAATCGTGACTTAGGATGGCGGTGGACGAAGGAGGGAATAAGCATGCACAGCCAGACATTCTGTGCCCTGGATAAGCTCCATTCCAAGGCTAGTGAAAGTATTCTGCAATTCTCACCCACGGCTTACTTTTATTACCCCAAGTTGCTGCTACAACCCATTTGCAGAGGAGTGCCAAGTAAGGATGTATGGGGTCTAGGATGCCTAGACCTCCATTGTCCCTCGAGTTTGCTATGGTCTCCCATGCAACCTTAGCCATGTAGCCTTGTTGTTGTTCGGCGTTCGGTTTCCAGAGATACCGGGCCGCCGCCCTTTTGATCTGTTTATATGCTCCCTCTCCCAGTCTATGGACCGATAGGGGAAACCATAGCAACGAGAAAGCTGCTGCTGATAGGACCAGTGCTCGGCCATAGAGTGATAACTTATGGCTCCGAATCCAGCCGGATACTATGACCGAGACTTTCTCTGTTAGGAGACCATCCTGCACAGACGAGCAATCAGATAAAGAAACTTGAACACCGAGGAACAGATCTGCTGAGTTAGCCGGGATTTGTTTCAATGCCCAATCCACACACAAAGTCTGAGAGGGGGGGAGAAAGAAGACAGACTTGTCCCAGTTGATCGATGCCTCAGATAGTGAACAGTACTTATCTATGACTGATTTAAGGGCTTCTAGGGATTCGACTGAGTTTTCGCAGGCAATTGTAAGGTCATCTGCTAAGGCTCCACCCTTCCACTGGAGGGAGGGGGAGAGACGAAGTCCTCTAATTTTGAAGTTATTTCTGATGTTGTTTTGAAGTACTTCCAGTTGGATCACAAACAGCAGGGGGGCTAGTGGGCACCCCTGTCTCAAGGAACGGGTAAGTTTAAAGCTATCAGACAGTCTACCGTTAATCATTACAACCGACGAGGCTTGGTGAAGATAGGCCTCGACCCATTTGCAAAAACCATCCTCAAACCCCATCTTCCTTAGTGTGGTAAAAACAAAACTCCACCCTACCTTGTCATAAGCTTTTTCCATGTCCAGCATGAGAACAGCTACCTCCCTATTTTCTCTCCCTATGATGTTTAGAGCCTGCACAGTCGCTATTATATTATCAAAGATGGATCTGCCTTTGATAAAGGCACCCTTTTCCCATCCGACAAGTTCAGGTAATAGTTTTGCTAATCTTAGCGCAAGGGTTTTTGCAAAGAGTTTGTAGGTAACATTTAAGACCGAAATAGGTCTCCAATTGCAGATCTCTCTCTTGTCTCCCTTCTTGTACAGAAGGGAGATCATCCCCTTGGTGAAGTTGTTAGGGAATTTTCCGGATGAGAGGGCCTCGTTGTATACCTCACATAGAAACAGGGCAAAGGCAGACCATGAAACCAGAAAAAGCTCTAGTGGGAATTCATCAAGGCCTGGACATTTACCCTTCGCCATTTGATGAGCTGCTATGAGAAGTTCATATTCCATTATAGGTTAGTCCAGCTCAGCCTTTGCGGTGGGCGAGATGGTTGCTAATGGATTTTCCCAATAGTCCGAAAGTTCGGATAGGTCACTACCAGACTGATCATAGGGTCTTCTAGTAGTGATGATGTCCCTGAAGTACTCCAGGGCATAGGATCACATGTTCACTGTGTCTTCACCTACTGGGCCCTCAAGTGCAAAGGGGTGAGACAGTTCGCGCATCAACGGCTTCGTCTGTCTGAGTATAAGGGACCTGAAGGTGAGCTTAGTCATTTTATCATATCCAATTACGCCCCTCAGGCGAAGCCATTCCAATTTCCAACCACTCCCCCTGTTTTCGTACTTGAAGAGTTTCTAGTTTGGCTAGGGCGCCCTTCCGCCTCTCAGACCAGTAATAGTCTGAGAACGGATCCCTCCCCATCTGGTTTTCCACATCCTTGGTTTCCTTGATCAGTAAGTGCTCTTCCCATTTGCGATTGGCTGATTTCATTTTGGAGAATTCCAACAGAGCAGCCCTAACTATCCTGATTCCCGTGTCCGCCCAGACGTTGAAATCTAGGAAGAGGTCTTGGGCCTGTGCCCATTTTTCCATATGTGATGTTACCCAGCGGGCAATGCCCCCAGGGGGGTTTATGTTGCTCTATGAGATCCCTTGTGAGGATATCCATTACAACCGGGGGATGGTCAGATAAGGAGGCTATCATATTGTCACAGGCCACGCACCAATCCCATGGGGTGCCCCTTACTAAAAAAAAGTCTAGCCGCTTTCTAGGGATGGGGGTACGATTAGCCGAGCGTGGCCCGTACCAAGTGAAGCCACCAAAGTCTGGGTTGAGGGTGCGCAGCGCGTCCACCAGCGACTGCGAATCTACGAACTTGGAGAGGATAATCGTATCCTGTCTAATTTGCGTGACTTTCAACGAGTCAAGACCCGGGTTGAAGACTGTGTTCCAGTCTCCAGCTAATATTAGATTTTCGATATCCGGTATGCAGGCAGGAAGACCGGCAAAAAATATATATTCTTTCTGAAAATACAACCGGGGCGTATATTGACATAACCGCCCATTCTACTTTATCAATTACAAACTTGACCCAGACCCATCTACCGTCTGGGTCGTAGTACTGATCAATCACTGTGCAGTCCAGGTCTTTGTTTATTAATACAGCCACCCCTCCTTTAGACCCTACCGCAGGGGCCCAAACTTGTGGTCCCTGCCACCAATGCCGCATGGTAGCTAGCTTATCAGAATTAAGCTTAGTTTCCTGTAGACATATAATCTGCACATTTTGAGAATGACACCATCTTAGTAGTCTAGACCTTTTGAACTGACTAGCCGTATCACCAAGCCCTCGGACGTTCCACGCTGCTATCCTAATCCTTTTGGGCAACGCCATTCACAGGGCCCTCGCCGCGGGGATATTGGATGCGGTTGGTGGAGTTCTTTTTGAGCTTGGTGTTGTGATCTGTGGGCTCCTTCCCCATGCCTCCCTTGGACCTCTGCTTTAAGACGGACTGTTTCTTGCAGAGACTGTCTGCGAAGGCAGGGGTTAGCAGGCAGTCGGCGACATCTGTCCGGGTCAGCCATTGTGCAATGCACAAGGGCGACACATCCTCCACTATGGCTATGTCTTTCACGGTATCTATCCCCACATCCAACAAGCGAGCGAGAGGCAACCAGTGTAAGTTCGGACTGTGCAGGTTGGCCATTTTCAGGGCGTCTGCCTGTAAGGCCATGAAGGACATGTGGAGTACAGTCGTGGAACCCTTCGAATTAGTATCCAAGATCCTCCCTCTTTTGGGTTTCTGCAGGGGAGGTCATGAAGTACCTGCTTGGCCACCCAACCTGACAACTGGGAATCCGCAGGGGGTCCTGTCGTGGGGAAGGCGGGAAAGGGAAAAGTTTCATCTTGGGAAGCTTCAGTAAGTACCATAATGTCATCCGGGGAATGCATGCACATTAACGGGACTGCAAATTCATAAATTTTGTCCCTAGTTAAGGCCTCTTTGGAGAGAGTTTGCATTGGATGGGCAAACGACAGTGATTGCTTGCCCTGCTTAATGGACGAAAATTCTTTCCCCTTCCTGGGATTGGTGTCCTTGTTTTCCCCTGGCCCTTATGCTGATTTTTTTTTTTTTGCGTGCAACCGTTTTCGATTTTATAGCTGGGGAGTGCAGGACATCCTTCCTAAGTTTAGTCGTTTTAAGGTTCGGGGCGGGTCGAGGCAGACCAGCCGCCGCGCCAGAAGCATCACCGTCAGACTTACCATCTGAGCAGTCCACGCAGACTTCTTCTGATGAGCTAGGAGTCTTCCTACCCCATGGGGGACAAATCCCGCCCACTAGCTTGGATGGGGGAGACATCACCTCCATCCCGGATCTCTCCCTCTTCTTCATAAACCTGGTTGTAGAATGATTTGGTATTGAGCTCAAAGGCGGGGGAGCCTTCACCAGCCAATATGGAAAACCAGAAGTCCTCATCCCTATCTGCCTCCACTCCTTCCCCCTCAGATCTGTCTTCTTCAACATGGTAATCCTCATTTCCCATATCCGATCTCGAGGAGGAGGGGGAGAGGGGTGGTCGGAAAAAGGGATCCTTTTCACACTTGTAAATGACCAGGGCTTTGCCCGCTCTAAGCTCTAATCACCTCTTCATCTGAGAACGGGTCTTCTTCTTCCTCTACTTGGGTGTCAAACCTCTTCCTTTTCTCCCTCACCAAATGCTTATCTTCCTCCATCTCCATATAGGCTGTTCTAATATCTACTGATAAGTCTTCTGCAGAAGGGCCACTCCCATCCTTCTGCAACCCTTGTTTCTCAGATATGGTGACGAGGTCTCTTTTTCTTCTATGTCGGCTCTTTCGCCTCTCTCCTCTACCTTCTCCTCCGTCAGCCCCCCATTCTCCTTTTCCTCCTTCTTCTCCCTCCCAACCTCTTTACAACCTTTCTTTTCTTTCACGTCTGCCTTTCCCCCCCCTTTCTTCGCTTTCCCCCCCCTTCCTTCATCTCCACATCCCCGCTTTTCTCTCCCCCAATACCCCCCGTTGAGTCCTTCCCATCACCCGTCCTTTCTCTATCTCGACCACCGCCCCCCTCGTCACCCACCATCTTGCCTCCTTCTCCCCTCCCTTCCCCATCAGCTCCTACACTCTTATTCCCTCCTTTCCCATCTCCCCCTCCAATACCACCTTTGTTCCCTCCCCCGTCTCCTCCCTCCTGACCCTTTTCTTTTGGCGGAGGGCGTCTGTCCTGCTTGACCACTTCCGCGTAGGGTTTCCGCCTTACTGCCTGACAATCGGGGTCTCCTTCCGAGTGGAAGTATCTCCGACAGCTCGGACACCAAGGCATACCTGCACAAATGATTTATATCTCTATATAACCAAACTGGCTGGGGGATGCAGGGGAAAGGAATCTGGGTGAAGTGACATGGCCAGGAGGAGAAGGGTCGGAAGTCTTCTTTAGAAGAGATTTCCAACTCTATTTCAAGGACTGGTTTTCACTACAACCAGGAGCCTCTCTCAGGGACCCTAGAGATTTTGCAGATCCTTTTCCCCCATCTCATACATCGCTGGTAGAAATATCATAATCTGGAGGCAGCTGCTTGGTTTGGCATGTTAGATCTGGCGGCTTGAATTGCTGAAGAGGCAGGCATCTTCCTTATTTTGTATGGGTATTATTTTTGGATTTAACTTTTGGTTCCCGGGTCCCTTGGGGTCTCGTAAAAAGCAAAACTGGGTAAGGCTCCCAGGTAGTGACATATCCAGGTAGATTGTGAGGACCCCGGCCTCGTTCTTGTTTTCTGAATATCAGCCTTGGGCACTGGGCCCTGTTTTAAAAAAAAAAAAAAAAAAAAAAAAAAAAGGCGACCTAAATCTACAATCAAGTAGCGTTTGTATCTGAGTTGAGCTGCTGATTCTAAATCAAAACGGATGTTAAGTAAATCTGGACTCAATTTATCCTTGAAGGCTGGGAATTCCTTGAGTATCGGACCAAAAGCATCCGACACTGCTTTGGAGAGATGGGGAGAGCCCCAATGGGGACTTAGAGGCACCTTATCCAGAAAAAATTATGTCTGGATGCCTCCCTCCACTCCCAAAGCTCTTGCTCACACATCCAAGGTTCGAAGGAGATTGAGTATTTCTTTTTGTCCAATTCGATCTCAGTGTGTGCGACTCTTAACATCCACATCGCAATTTCCTTCGAGGAGGCCACGTATGTGACCAGATTCTTCCCCTCATTGTGAAACAGACCGTGCTTGGGAGGAGAAGAGATTTCGCTGGCCGCAGCCCAGCCATTCTCGTATATGCGTATGAGCCGTTTCTTTACTTCAATGGGTAGCGATGTCGAATCATCGCTGAAGAAAACTGAAACGGCATGCTCCCGAAGCCACTCGGCCTGAATATTATAGACTTTGGGGTTGATGATTACACACACAAAATCATCCCCGGTAACTATAGTATTCGGGGCGAGTTCCTTTGGCAGCACTCCCTCCATGTAGCATTGAGAGATCAGGGCGCGAACCCTCGATTTGTCCTCCTCAGACAGCGGAACTATCCTTCGAGGCTCAGCCATTTTACTTAGCACCGTAAGATCTCATTCCTCAAAATATAAAATAACATTACAAAACTACGAAGAGAGCGATTGACCTATGACCTTGTGGGACTCTATGCACCGATCAGACTGGGACAAGAATAAACAGAATTCAACCTCTCCCCAACTCAGACCAGAGTGGTGGGAACGATACCTTTTCCTGCACTGTGGTGGCTGTCATGAACGAGGTAACCGAATTCCCTGCGTGGATCGTCGTCTTGGTTAATCCCGTAATTCAGTCGTAAGTTACCGAGATAATCGCCCGAGAAACCCGGCTACAACCCCATCTCCCGACAGGAAGTAACTCGATGAGATTCGGAGATGCTGAGGAACGGGGAGCTGTCCTGTCCTCCGGTGTTTCACCGTAGGCATGCACCCAGTCAGCTATGGTGAGGAAGATCCCACCTCCTCTCCCCCCGGATTTACTGAGAAAGAAAGTAGAGTGAGACCGAGCCGCGATGGCACTGTGCCCGGCGGCGCAAAGTTACCGTGCCGCTTCCTGCCCCGGACTTAGCGCTGCGTTAGCACGGCGCGGCCCCGTCCCCCCTCTCGCACCACCTTTCAAGTGCGATTTTGCCCACGACACTTGAGAGTTTCAAGTATGCACACTTGAGAGCAGGAAAGTGAAAAAGTGAAAACATTACCGGGGAGGGGGGAGGGGGGGGGGGAATCATTAGGG